AATTTCTATCCCAGATTATTTTTTCAAAATTGAAATACTAAATCCCTTGTAAACTGTTGTAGGAAGTAATCCAGAGTCTCAGACTTCCGGTATAACTTGCACGTGACCAAATTACGTCATTGGTATGTATTCTATTTACTAACAATTATACTAACAAACTTCTAGGATATCACTATGATGCAATAGCATTATATGATATCATTACGATGCAATAACATAAACAACAACTAAAAATAGAAATAACTAAAAATAGCAATAAGCTAAATATAGCATATGAGGTCATAGACCATATAGAAATGAAAGTTGAAGTCAGCATAGCTAGACACCCTGAGCATAGCTCACCAGACACATATAAATATGGGACAGAGTCCACTACAGAAGAATATCTCTATACATATAATAACTAACTAACTAATATACACCATACACTCTACTACAATAAGTATCAATATATCAGTCAAAATATACTCTAAAAGAAACTATCAGAAATGGGTGACAACTTAAGTACACAAGCCTTCAATGACTACGCCTCCAGAGAGCCAAACCTACAACAGGTTATGAGCAACCTAACGGCGCATATCACTCCATACGTTTTGAAGAACAAATACAACTATCATCGTTGGTTTATCAGATTTGAAGAACTCTGTGTTTTATATGGTCCAGGCTTTGCTGAATGGCTTGCAGCTACCGGCCCCAACGCCGCTGCTAATCCCAGGAATGCGTTATATAACATCTGTCTCAAAAGAGCACTTGAAGTGTGTGTTTCTCCAGAAATTCGTGCTCGCTTCCAATTCAATCAAGAAACAGGCCGAGCTATGTTGCAGAAAATCAAGACCTATTATGGTACGATGACAGAAGAGGAAACGATGAAATACATGGTTTATATGTGGGAACATTTGTCCAAGGATATGAATCAAGGTGATCGCTATAACTACTTTGATGACTTCCTCGATGAATTTAGAAAGGGCAATGTTGATAGACAAAGAGCCATTGGCTATTTCTGTTTATCCAACAAACCACAGTTAATAAGGGAATATTTTATGCAACATTCAACTGTCGAGCCAATTAATGTCAGAATCTTCTCTGAAGACCTCGATTTCAATATTGCTATGATTCCTGACCCTGATCCAACCCGTAGCGCACCTCCCGCCGTTTCAGCACCCGCAGTCGTCAATGCCGTGACCAATCCACCGTCTGGCACATCACTCAAGTTACTAAATCAACCACCACATAATCCCTCCGCTTCTCCTGAACAAAGAGTCTGGGAGATTCGCTGTCGTAACTGCCAAGGTCTCGGACATTGGTCCGCTCACTGTTCCTCCCCTAAACGTGTTGGACCTCCCTTTGAATTACAACCAGTTATTCGTCCGACAGATACCTCCTCCACTGATCTGTCGTCTAGGAAACGTCCACTTCCAGCAAGTTCTTCAAACGAAAATTCCTCACAAACCGAGCCCACCTCACCTGAAGCAAACTAGGTTAGTACTCCCGTTCCACAACAGCAACCCCAGTATACATATCAGCTCCTGGCACCTTCCTATTCCTACTTCCACACATCCCTTACAAAACATTCTTCCCAAGTATCAACCCCACTCCCGTTATCCACCAATTTACCAAGCTGGTCCTGAGGGGGAAATTCGGTATTTAAAGGGAAAATGTTAGAAATAAGACAATCCAGTACCACTTAGAAAATTGGTCTAGATTCCCATACTACCATCCATTTACGAAATGACTGTGACCGCTAACAATCCTACTAAAATGTCAAACGTCAACTGCGATACCTATGGATCACTCTCTATATATACTATAATACATGCCTTCCTAAGTCATAAGTAAAAGATGTATTCGAAAATCCTTAGATGTTTGAAGCAGTAATACTGGTATCCCTAATAAATAATAATAGGTTTGGAACTTCGAAGGCTATACGTTGGTGTCCCCGATTCAATGCATCTTAAAAGACTGGCATGGTCCTCCAAGAAGTGTAACACTTTCAACCAAAGCTGTTAAACATAGGTCCTCCTATACTAGCAGTATCGCAGACCACCATCCCACGTTAGACACTGGTCAACTCAGTCAAGGATGAAGTATCTAAACAATTATGGTTTCGCACATCATAATGTTTGGAGAGTTAAATAAGGGTACTTGTGCATACTGTCTTAACTCTAAAGGATAGGAAAGTTTCATATTGGCTTCTCAACTTGCTTTCATGAAGCTTAGTGGCCATCCACTTCATACTACAACTAAGAGCTGTCATTACTCAGGGTCTACCCTCCAAGGTCACCATAGACGACTTCGTGATCGACCATTGGATTAAGGGGGAATGTTGTAGGATATAATCCAAGCTGGTATCCCTCAGTCTTTCGACCCATGGATTAAGGGGGAATGTTGTAGGAAGTAATCCAGAGTCTCAGACTTCCGGTATAACTTGCACGTGACCAAATTACGTCATTGGTATGTATTCTATTTACTAACAATTATACTAACAAACTTCTAGGATATCACTATGATGCAATAGCATTATATGATATCATTACGATGCAATAACATAAACAACAACTAAAAATAGAAATAACTAAAAATAGCAATAAGCTAAATATAGCATATGAGGTCATAGACCATATAGAAATGAAAGTTGAAGTCAGCATAGCTAGACACCCTGAGCATAGCTCACCAGACACATATAAATATGGGACAGAGTCCACTACAGAAGAATATCTCTATACATATAATAACTAACTAACTAATATACACCATACACTCTACTACAATAAGTATCAATATATCAGTCAAAATATACTCTAAAAGAAACTATCAGAAATGGGTGACAACTTAAGTACACAAGCCTTCAATGACTACGCCTCCAGAGAGCCAAACCTACAACATAAACTTCCTCAAAAATGAAGCTTTCAACTATTATATTAGCATTATCAACTACGG